GAGCTTTGAAATCGCACAACATACCTGTAAAAGTGGAAAATCTTATTTTTGTGTATAGATGTCGTATATGTTCGAGTTTTTTGTGTTCTCGCTTCTGATCGAGGGTTACATTTTCACAATAGACATTTATACACCATTAGATAGAGAATTTAAAGGGCTACATTTTGGACTATTTATTTTTTAAAACACTCGAAATCGACTTTTTGGCCTAATGTCCGCTTAGTTGCCCCCTGTGAGCTAGGGAACAGTACCAGGTCACAGTGGCAATTTTTGGTTACGATGTGGGACTTGTATTAAATCGATCTCAATAAGATTTAAAGTGCACCTTTATAGATTTTCTGATATGTTCTTTCTAACGCAACAGTTAAAAACATTGCTAGATGTCTTTGCAGGTTCTCCAGAAAACCTAGTTGCTTCCAAAACTTTTCCCCCGTAAACGCTTTCAGCCTTTTCGAAAGGTGATCCCCGAAACATGTGGATTGGGATCTTTTTCACCGTTTTTCAGACGTTCGGATTGCTAGCCATGATTTTTTAAGAAAAAACCAACGTTAGTGTTTCTGTGTTGAGAGCTCACCATATGGCGAGGGAAAAAGAATCAGAGAATCACACACGGTGGTAGTCCGAAAACAATCACTGGTTGCTGTGGTATATTTCCGATAGAAAAAAGCATCCTCTCCGCGATGAAAAACTTATCGTATCCGTTGTGACACTGCGATATGTCGGGATAAACATTACGGGGCGATATGCGCCGCTGCTTGTTTTAGACGGATATATCTCAGTATATCCATGCCTTACCGATACATCCCAGCGTGATAACGGATGTGATAGATTTTTTATCGCTATACTTTCCACCACCGAGTACTAGTATATCTTGATACCAATCGGTTACGATGCATCGAGATTACTCATTGATCGGCACGTATTGCGCTATAATTTTTATTGCGACATACCGGGGTGTGACAATGGATCAGATAATTTTCTATCTAGATAATATCCGTTGCAATATTATTTCAATATATCCTGATAAAACATGGTTTCGTGATGTCTTGCGATACTGATATAAAATGAAACAAGGCGAACGAAAGAGAAAAAACGAAAGCTAAGCATATCGTTGTTGCTGTATGTATAATAAAAGGATGTGAGAAACAATTTCTCTGTTTCCTCTATTACATTGTCGTTTCTCACATTCTATTATACGATAAAAAGGAATATCGAAAGCTGGAATTTAACCACCTGATTTTCGGCATTGTCGAATTTCAGGTTGTTTTTATACTATTGTCCTAAGTCCTTGTAATTCTGACAATTGTCGAAAATCCATTTTTGCGGTGGTACATTTCATTTTTAAATTTCAAGAAATTGGAAAAGAAGAAGTTCATATGATGATAGAAGTGGAATTTCTGCGATACCAAACATTTTGTCGAGCAACATGAATATGCTACACAGAATCAGTGAACTGGAGTCTTCCTCTAATAATTTACAAATGAAAATAAAATGACAAAATAAGACTTTTCTTCTCTCTTTTTCAAATGCAGATCCCACATGGGAACCAAAAACAAATAGAGTTTCTGTATCTCACAGCAACTGAACTGTGACAAATAAAAAATCACACAAATTACAAAAATACAAGAATACACAGATTATAGGTTATAAAAACACAATGTATTATTTTATTATTATGCCCGGTGTATGCTATTAAACATTTTACTTCAAGTGCAACTGAAAATCACTGTAAAAAATTCCGTTGGATTTTTGACAATTGTCCGAATTGTTGGTGGCTTTGCTCTGTATATTCGACAATACTGCGAAAATCCTTCGGAATTTCGACTGGCGAAATTCTAGATGGCGAAATATCATTACATCGCTTTTTATATCTAGTAATTCTCTTTTTAAAACCGCTAGCAGAATCTAATTCATATTGTTTTTTATCAACTATAATTTCTTACTACATTCATGGGGTCAGGGCAGGGCAATTCCGCTGACTTTCAATTCCACTCTAACTCCAACTCCATCAACAAAAATCTCAATTCCGGTTGCTTCACTTTTGTAAGAAAGATTTTTCGGTTTTTTGCAGGATTTTGGACGTTTCTGAGCTTTTTCCGGTCGGAAAGCGCAAAGAACTTCCGAATTCACTCATGAATACAGCCGCTCAATCGTTTAGAAGATCAATTTTACAACTATTGAATATTTCCAAAAATGCAAGAGAATAAAAATGCAAAAACCCAACTCTAACCTCCTAAAATCTCAACTTCAACTCCGCCAAGGCAGCCCATTGGCACCTGCCCGGTTGGGCAATATTGCCTGAACCGACGATTTGCCCGTTCGGACAAGGTCTGATCTCGAGAACCATCAGTCGTCTAATGGGCGGGAAGTGATCATTCTACTCCTCGTGTACGGATTATTCATCGTATATTAAAGTTAAGTGTTCAACCTGCTTTCTCTGTCATGACAGAGACGAATAGCAAACATAGCTCAATTTTGAGCATTTATCTTGCCCGATTTGCAATATTGTTTCGATGGGGCAAGATCGATATTCCTCGTTTCGACAAGATTGAAATAGTATGTATATCTAACGTGCAGACAAATAAAGTAACGCACACAACTATACTTCGGTTGATTATTGTCATCTATCGGAAGAACGGAGCTTGGAAAGCAACAATCATGATTTTCGATGAGGATATTTAAATAGTTGTGGAAGGCATTCAGTGTATTTCACAAGTCACTTTACTTGTTTTCGACCATAGTCACTCTCTAACTTTGGGCTTTTCTTTTAGGCAGAAAGTTCTGTTTTTTCTCCTGTTGCTTGCTCGTAGCGTAAAGTAGAAGAAATAGATAAATATATAAGTATATTTATAAGAAGATGTGTCACCAAAGTAACAATTGTACATGTGGCAAAGAACAGTGGAAAAACTGACATTGGCTACTAGTACATTCGTAAAAGTTAAAACGTGTGCTATAAAGCTAGTTAATCGTTGACTTCTTCTTACTAAACAGATCTTTCTCTCAAAGTTAAACAACTAGTTATTGTATCATTTTAATGTGGTTCATACAGCCCATAGCAAAAGTCACATTTGGAAATTTAAATTTTCTAAATGCTACCATACAAAACTACCTTGGAAAAAGATAACAAAGCCTGGGAATCCAGGAATTGTTTCTGCCGAACCAGTTTTGCCGACAATTCGTCAGTTCCTACTTGATTCCAAGATAAAGCCAACCATCAGTTCCCCGGGAAAATGGGCGAACCAAGATGACACAGAATATATAGCAGCAAATATTTTCAGGGAAAAGGAAACATGGAACTCACTCAATTCTGCCAACAGTTCCTACTGGGTACCCACAAGGAACCTAGCATCAAATCCGCGGGGAACAGGCAAGTCGTTTTTCGATAACGTTTTCGTTTCTTCACATATATTTTTCAAAACTATACTGTTGGATAGCCCTTGAAATTCTCTACAAACTGAGCTAGTCAGACAATCGAGGTCGGTCGGGCCGGTCACCAGGAACATGCAAAAAACGCGTTGGACGTACGGAAAACGCCTGTGGAACAATTGTTTAGTCATTTTTCTGTCCTAATGAGAAACTAAATATTTTTTAAAAGAATACCATTGGATAGCCTATGAAAGCCTCTACAAACTGAGCTAGTCAGAATATCTAGACAGGTTGGGCTAGTCGTTA